CAGATAGCGATGGCATAAAGACATTTCCTTTTGATAACGTTTTATGCCAAGGACATTTTTTTTAATTGATGAAAAAGTCGCTTCTTTTAAAAGGCGTTTCATGCCATTTGCTTGGTCTTAGTAATTTCAACAGAGACGTTTTTTATTCAGACTTTGTTTCAATTTCCCTTTTTGTTTGGTAAGATTGCTCTTAAAATAAAACAGTAATACCAAAATTGTCATCCGCGAGATTCGATGACTATATAAGTTCCCGCCTTTCCAATCACGAATCTTCGCGCGCGCGTCGAATATCTCCCGTGCTTCGTATTCAGTTGGCCCCACAAGTTGAGTGATAAGATAAGAGCAAGGCAACTTGAACGTCATATAAGTAACTACTCTTTAGATTTGGCGCCATTTTCGCGAGTCCATGTCTTGAGAAGTAATAATTAAAGACTTCATTTAAATGTTTATGCCTATGCTTCTTAAACATAGGAAATAACATTCTCTTTCCTTAAGCCCCAAGTTTGCTAAACATTGACTTTTCAAGAACCAAACGGCACGTATACCAGACTTAATATGACGGATTTTAGAGTGTTTGGGGACGACGTTTTTCGCCTTGGGCTCAGAGATTTCCGACTTATTTGCCAGCTCACTCCAATCTTAAGGATTCTTCGAATAGATTCTCAAATTGTTTGCTTTTCATTTCCAACCTCCGGCCTTTTTAATTCCAGAAATAAATAAATGACGATCACTTTTTTTAAGAAAGACTCATTATTTCTACGCAATTTCGAGATTTTTCTGGAATATTATTTACTTTTCTCTCCATGAGCGGATACTAAAATATATTTTCCCTCTCCATTGAGCGGTTTTTTTGCTTCAGCAAATACCACGACATAGAATACTGCATAAGTAAACGGTGATTAGCTTCCCGCTAGGATTAGGAACAAAGCGCTCACCATACACAAAAGATCCCCATGAAAAGAGATCTTCTAGTTCAATGGGATTTGAAAGTTATGACTTCAAAGAGTCAAAAAAATTGAAATGAGTTTTTCGAGGGGATTTTCAAGCAAACAAAAAACGCTGTAATCGCTAAAGTCAAATTTTAAGCACTAAAAAGTTAAAAATTTTAAGCTATGGTAAAATAATATAATAAACCTCTGAGGCAGAATTCTTTGAAATTGGTTATTTACACTTAAAGCGATAATTTTAATTAAGAATTTCTTTCTCGACTCGGTAAGAGAGCTTTTTGACTTAGAAATAATCTTTATAAAATTTCAGCGTATTAAAATAGGGTACAAAGATTAATGAAAAAACGAGTTCCCCTTACCTGAGAGTGTGCTCACAAGCTCGAAGTTCAACTGCCAGACTGATAACGACAGATGTTCCTATATACACACAGACTAAAGTATGTAGGATTTTACTTCGAAAACAATGCAGGCTTTCGCAATTATCATATATATACTCGTTAAGAAAACGTTCAAGAATTTGATGTCATTGGAAAATATGAATTTTCATATCATGGCAAACAGAATGAAAAGAGAGGTGACAAATTGTCCCTGGAGTGGAAGTATCAAGATTTTGTTTTGGCGAAGAAAAAGATTTCGACAGCTTTTTTTCCTCCTAAAACGCTTGTCAAAGTCGACAGAATTTATTTTTTCAAGTGAAAAAATATTTCTGAATTTCAAATTAGCAGTCGAGACATCGTGCTCTTAATAAAGTTTAGCAAGGGAAATATAAACGAAAACTTATGAAAACTTTGGAAAAACAACGGAAATCAAGTTTCCTTTTAAATCAAGTTTCCTTTTTTTCCGTTGAAATCAAATTATCAAAGTCTTAATGAAGAACTTACTTCTCTAAGTTAGTTTTAAGTGCATGGAAATACTCGAAAGTAAAGTAAAAAAACAAACACTGAAAGTCTAGGTAAACTCCTTTTCTACTTTTAAGAAATCTAAAATAACTTAATGCGGAGCTGGAAACGGGGGTGGAAGAAGTTTATTCAAATATCGCTCTGGTTCAAGTTCTTGTGAAGTGAGAGGAAAATCAATTGCTGTCAGTTCTTGTCACTTACAAGAGATATTGAAGAAAAAAGAACAGCCCTTACTAGAAACGGTAATGATGATCATAACAAATGCTATAAGTATCGACAACAGACCCGTTTATTGTGATCAAGGCTATTCATAATGAGCAGAAGCCCGACGTGTTGTCGTTTAAGGTAGCGATCCAGAACTAAAGTCCTGGGCAGTATAAGAATAAATGGTAAAATTGCAAAATAAATGTGGGGCAGAGGGATTGTGAAAGAAAGAAAAAAGAAAATCCTTTGAATGATGATAACAAAGAAGTAAAATCATGTCCGGCATTGAATATTGATGATGATGATGATGATGATGGTGATGACGATGACGATGATGGTGATCATGATGATGATGGTGATGATGGTGATGATGATGATGATGGTGGAAGTAATGGTAATGATAATAATAATGGTAATAATAATAATAATAATGATAATAATTATCATCATCATCATCATCATCATTTTTGGTTTTTATCATTAGCATTAGCATTAGCATTAGCAACGAAAGTAACGAGCAAGAAAATATGATGACTCTGTAATGGCGACAGCGATGATGATTAACTAACGTCTAACCAATATATTTTACTCAATTAGAAGTCGAACTCCTATGATAATACTGGCTTTTCATCGAAAATATTATGGGCCAAACTTATAAGATATAACACTGAAGTCAAACTGGGAAATCTTTCTAGAGATTTGCAGAACTGATTTAACGTAATGCTTACAATATGTAGGCTTTCCTTCTCTTTGTTTAGAGGACAAGCGTAAGCCAGAGCAAAATAAAACTTAAACTGTAAAGACGACCTCACAAATTGGCTTTTAGTGGTCAGAATATAGCTAAACATATTTTCCAAAAACAAGCCTACTTGAACGCTGAAAATATAGAAAAATTAATACTCACAAAAGATAGTTTCGCCACCTTCGTTTTTTGAAAATACCAAAGGAAATCCGTTATTCACACGTTGTTAACGGAAGAGAAACCACTTCAGTGTTAGCGAGGAGAGCGCTAAACATTATCAGAAAAACCCAGAAATTTCAGCAGGACACCAGTCTTATACTCAGACCTTTTGAGAGCTATGCTTATTTTAAAACTAATCGCTCATGCAGCCTTACCATATAACGATTACCAGACATAGACTAATATGTCATTTAAAAAAATTTTTAAATAGCATCTACTATGTTAATGAGAAAAAAGAGTTTACGAGAGAGAAGATTGCTTTCATGTAGTGTAATATTTAGAGTACTATAGATATTTCGTATTTTTTGAACGTCTGTCTTCGGTGGCAGGAACTTCATCGTTTTAAAAAACAACTGAATTTTGTTTTATATTAAATCCAAGAGATATCGAAATAGTTTATGCATTTCTTCAGTTTTGGACAAGTAGTAAAAGCGACTGATAAGCGTGGAATAGAATAACTCTTTTAAAACTGGATTTATACTGTTCAGTCATTAAGAAGAAGAAAATCCCTTAATAAAAACAATGAATCATTTTCCTATTCTTTAGAAAGTGTTATCAGCTTAGAATCGTCTTCTAAATTTGGCAAATTTGATTTCAGCGACAGAGAAGGTGAATGAAAATGAGCGATAAGATTAGAATTCTGATTTGTCGGGAGTTTTCCCCCGACTGGACGCCCATCCGTTGTTAGAGACTTCACTTAAACCTAAACAATGAGAAAATCAGAAAGTCGATCTCATTTTTCTTGAGTTTAGAGTAACCGGATAAGGAAGTCGACGATAAAAAGTTTTCAAGTTCTGACAGGATTTTTGAGTGCTTTTCTAAAACATTTTAGCCGTATAATTAATTCGCTCAAATCAAACTATAAAAATGCTCTTCTAAGTAAATATCTAGTGCATTAAACTCAGTTTTGACTCTGAGTTTAAAGTCGAAAAAAATAATCAATTCTCTACGGGTCTCTTAAGATTCCCAGGAAAGTAAGATCTTTGTTCTTTTGATTTTTAAGTGCTCATTATGATAGATACAATTAAAACAAGTTAGTATTAATAACAATCAGGCTCTCAAACTCACGGAAGTTACATGTGTATCGCCTCGTTGAAACCCAAAACTTTTTCGAAATTGTCTTAAAAGAGCATTGAAAGCGGATCGACTTACGCAGTTATTTATCATGAAATTAAAAATACATCTTGCATCTTTTTAAGGTGGAAGAGATAATATGATAACCGTCTATTTTTTAGTGAATCATAATACAGTTTTTAATAAAGAAATTTTAAGATTGTAAAAAGAGGATTCTTCTTTAGGTCTCTAATCCACTTAGAAGCCAAATAACTTCTCCAACGTAGTGCTGAGAACATACAAGTCTTGATTTTTTTTTTAATTTCTTGTTCACAAGTACTGCATTTGATGGAGGTGATAAAAGTGTGCTAATGTACCTCTAAATCCCAAGATTATCGCCTCTCGACTACCATATCCTGTTTTAACTCCTTCTAAAACTCCGCAATATGATATAATATATTGAAATCGCTCTCAAAAGACTACCGAAATCCCAGATCAATGTTTGTCGAAAGTCTTAGTTCGACCGTTTAAAATAAATAATATCCAAGGTTTATGAAAATAGAATATTAAATACACAGTTCTTCAAGTTTGACAGTTTGGGAGGAAAGAAATTAAGAGAAATTCAAATTTATTAAAAAAAAGATAAAATTCATTAGCTGTTTTTGGTGGAAATTTAAGAAAAAATTAATAAAAGTTAAATATACATGGGAATCGAACTTGAAAACATCTGTCACAAAATACTACTCTAACTATAATTTAAACTCTAAAAAGTGATAGGACTGCAATTCTAAGAGAGAGGCTGGTTTGAAAGATTAGTTTCGCGAGATTTCTCGATTCAATTCAAAATGTTTCAATTTAAGTTATATACATAACATGAAAACGTGAACATTATTAAAACAGCCAATATACAGCCAATATAATGCTATAACTACTCACCTACGACCAACTAAGCGTTAAATTGAAAACTGTCTTGCTTGAAAATATATGTTGAGATTTCTTGACTTTATATCTAAAGTTTTGAAGCAAAAAAATAAGAGTCAGTAAGTCTCCTAAGCAAGAGAAAACGAAAGATGATAAGCGAAGACGACGGATTTTGTGTAAAAGAATATTAGAAAAGTTTAAATAATAATAATAATACGTAATGGCTATCGATTTAGGCTAAATATCCTTCGATTATTTCTGAGACAGAAGGGAAAGAAAAAAGGAGTAAAAGGAATTAGAATAGGTGGAAACAATACATAAAATTCATATCAGAATTGCAGTTGAGTTCGTATTTGTATTCACAAGTCTTTTAAGCTTCATAAAAACACATACATCAATAATAAATCGCACAAAATATTCAGCAGTTCAACTGATTCTCTTCATCTAACTTTGATACAATCCTACTAACCTTAGGAAGTTAAAGTTTTTCAGAGCGGGTTAAGTTATAGGAGTTTACTGATATGGACCGACCGATATGAGAATAATGGTAATGATGGTAGCTAGCTTTCGGGAGACACTCATTCAAAAATACAGAACGACTATAGGAAAACAAACCTCAGAATCATCAAATATAGCTAAGCAAACATAATAAGATCTCCCAGTCAAATGAATACCGTATAAATATAGAACTGGCTGTACAAAATACAAGAATACTTTGTACAAATTAGAAATGGTTATATATTTTCTCGACGGCATTAACAACGATAATAATCTAAAAATAACATTCCGAAGAAATTTCATATTTATGAGTATCATTAGTAAAATTGGTGGCCGCATTTGCTCGATTTACTTTCGAAAGCCGAAAGAAAAGTTAGAGAATATTTACCTCGTTTCTGGATATTCCAGTAAAGCATGACTTTCTTGAATATTTTTTCTTAGCCTGGCAGACAGGATTCACTTGGTGTAAACTCTCCTCTTCACTTAAATCATTTATTAATGACTTGTTTAATTTAAATATATGTATCACAAACTTACGTTTAACATCAGTGTAGTTCTTTGAAGAGAAGAATAGAAGAATTAGCCAATGGCTTTGGCTATTGTTATCTCTTAAATGTTCTTGACAATCTTTTCTGTACTAAAAAATAAAAAATATAAACAATTCGAAACTAGTAGGGTTTATAATAAGTAATCAAAACAAGCAATCTTTTTTAAGCAAATTTTTTCCCTTGGTACCAAAAAAATAAGGCAAAAAAGTTTGAATTAATAAGGATTTGTCGTTTTCATGGCAACAGAAACCTATAATTATAATGAGGAAAACGGTTACGATGAGTGGATTTTAAGGGAGAAAAACTTAAAGAAAATTAGCTAAAAGGTGTACGGCTAATTTGCCGAGAAAAGACAAAGAAAAAACATAAGTTTTAAAAGTCATTTAAAACTGAAACGGAAATTCAGAAATCTTCAATCACTATTTCGAGGTATTAGCAGTGAAGTCTGTCACAATGATCCGTCGCATTGCGATTTTTTTAGTGTCAAGTTCAGATGTATTCAACAAACAAAGCCAAAAAGTTGCCATTTTCATTTCCTTAAAGCCCTTAAAACCAGTCGGTGAAGCGCTCGGAACGAATTGAGCACTTAGGCAAAGTTTCTGCTGTCGCATCATTATTCTTATGAATTAAGAACTCAGAAAAAATCCGCTGAGATGGTTTTATCATTTATCGCAAAAGTTATTTTGTTCCCTACATGGAAAGATATACGAGGCATCACATATGTTTCGTATTTTCAAAAACAGTACCTAAAATGGAAACGATAAAGCCTGGTTCACACGAGCAAAAGCAAACGCAAACGCAAGCGCAAACGCAAACGCAAGCAATGTTCACACGTACAACGCAAATGCAAGTAAATTAAGATACGCATGCGCAGTAGTGATTGTTTATAGTTCACACGTATTTTCCTCTTGCGTTTACGTTTGCGTTTGCGTTGCTCGTGTGAACCACGTTTTGCGTTTGTGCTTGCGTTTGCGTTTTCTCCGGTTCACACGTTAAAAACGCAAACGCAAACGCAAGCGCAAACGCAAACGCAAGAAAACTACGTGTGAACTACAGTAACACAAACGCAAACGCAAACGCAAACGCAAACGCAAGGAAAATACGTGTGAACTATAAACAATCACTACTGCGCATGCGTATCTTAATTTACTTGCAATTGCGTTGTACGTGTGAACATTGCTTGCGTTTGCGTTTACGTTGCTCGTGTGAACCAGGCTTTAGCCCCGTCACTCTCCTAGTGGCGTTGCGGTACAGTGTGTGGCCCAGTATCCTGCCACTTCAGCTAAAAATCATCGTAACTCCCTTTTATTAAAAGCTACTGCATTGAAACCCGATCAAATTATGAATCAATTATCCTGCAACATAATAAGAACAAATTTTTCATTTGTATCCTTTGTCTTTGGTTTGCATCGCAGTTTTAACAAAGTGGTTTGGAGTTCCAGTATCCTGCCACCTGGTCCAGTATCCTGCCACTGCCAACAACCGTGCGGTTTATTGAGATCCCTGAGTTGTTTAGGTGCTAAATAGCAAAAAGGCACTTTCTAAATACGCGCTTAATAGTTTCTTTTAGTTCATTAAAAGTTACAAAACAAGTTAGATATCATTCATCGCCTTGAGCAATAATTCCAAACGGCTCTTGTGACTTTCACTCGCAATACAAAATTTTTATGTTATAAGATCCGCTTATTGATATCACAATCTGAGACACAAACAAATAGATCCCAGTTTGAAATAAAGTTCTTATCAATTTAATACTCCTAAATGATTATTTCTAATTTTAAAATTGTAAATTTAAGAAATTAAGCGTGTTACGAGTCCGCTTTATTTATCTATTTACTGCATAAACAGCACGAACACATTAATGCATAATTAACACGAACGCGCGCGAAATGCACAAATGTCTCGCTTGGTAACAACAACTAGATAAATTACATTAACTTCATTTAAAACACACTTCATATCCTGCTAATATATCGCATACATTATTCACATAGCCATTATCAACTTATTACGAATATATTTCGCTGTTCATTTACTATACAAAACGATGAGAATGACTTGTCAAGCACCAGCTTATTTGGGTTTCTATCTTGTTTTAATTCATTCATCTCCTGCTCTTCGGTCGTAGAATTGAAGAAATAAAACAGCCAAAGCAACATACAGCCCTTCTACTGCTTTATCAATATCAGTACATAGTTTTAAGAACTTCCTAGGCAAAGGAATACAGATCTTTATTCAATTTATAAGACAAAGAAGAGTCGAACGATAAGCTGGCAGGAAAAAGGGCCCCCCAAGCCTAACCTTTGTCATTGTTTCTAGATCGTAGTATTCAAACAAAAACGTATTTAATGGACCTTTCGCTAAGTTTATGAATGTTTTCATCATTATTCTTTCATCACATGAAAAATCATAGCGATCCCAGTCGCGTTTCGCATGTTTTGAGTTCATTTATAATCATTGGTAATTTCACTGCGCAGTAAAAAGCCTAATTTTAGCCATGATAAAGTTTACCTAACTGCTCTTTTCTTCTCCTCGTTCCCGAATGCGTTGTCCAAAAAGCCCGTCAAAACTGTCTTCAGAAACCGGAAGTGTTCGGCTAATCATTGGATAGCTTCGGATTAAGTAGAAAAATAAAGCC